GTCTCACCTGTAAAGAGAAGTTCCACCTGATCTCCTCCTTGTTTCAGTCAGGTCTCACCTGTAAAGAGAAGTTCCACCTGATCTCCTCCTTGTTTCAGTCAGGTCTCACCTGTAAAGAGAAGTTCCACCTGATCTCATTCTTGTTTCAGTCAGATCTCATTTGTGAAGACAGGTTCCACCTGATCTCCTCCTTGTTTAATCAGGTCTCATCGGTGAAGACAGGTTCCACCTGATCTTCTCCTTATTTCAGGCAGGCCTCACCTGTGAAGAGAGGTTTCACCCGATCTCCTCCTTGTTTCAGTCAGGTCTCACCTGTAAAGATAAATTCCACCTGATCTCCTCCTTGTTTCAGTCAGGCCTCACCTGTGAAGACAGGTTTCACCCGATCTCCTCCTTGTTTCAATCAGGTCTCATCTGTGAAGACAGGTTCGATCTTTTCAAGGGAAATGAATATATATATATATATATAAATCGTATAATCCTTATAATCTGTAGTAATGAAACTTTACCTTCGACAGATGGTATAAAGAACATTATGGAAGACTTGAAGCTTTACCAGCTACAAATAGGGTGTCGTTTAACCATGGTATATTAACCATCCGTGACACAGAGAGGTACGATGAAGGGTTGTATGTCTGTATCACCAACAACAGTGTAGAAGAAAAGAGGACGAAAACCATTCTGAAAGTAACCAGTAAGTCACGGTTGAATTACTTGTTCAATGGAAAACACTAAATGTCAAGAAATATAAAAATTGAGTTTCAGAAGATTTTATTTTGGATTCCACTGAATATTCATAATATGATATTAGTGTATTGAGATTGCGAGTCGAGCGTCCTAACCCCTAGGCCATGCTATACTCCCGAATTAAGGAAGCGGGTGTTAATAATACTGAAATATTCTTAAATTTAAAAAAATGATTTTGTTCCGTATATATTTTCAGGTTAATATTCATTCTCAACAGTTATTGGATTTTCAAAGTAAAAAAAAAAGGTTTTGCTCCTGATCAGTAGTTAGTCTGAACACCGAAGTTAGTCTGTAATTATCCTGAACACCTGAGATAATCAGTAGTTAGTCTGAACACCGAAGTTAGTCTGTAATTATCAGTCTGTAATTATTGTAGTTATTGGATTTTCAAAGTAAAAAAAAAAGGTTTTGCTCCTGATCAGTAGTTAGTCTGAACACTGAAGTTAATCTGTAATTATCCCAAACACCTGAGTTAATCAGTAGTTACTCTGTACACTGAAGTTAGTCTGTAATTATCCTGAATTCAGGAGTTAATCAGTAGTTACTCTGTACACTGAAGTTAGTCTGTAATTATCCTGAACACCTGAGTTAATCAGTAGTTACTTTGTACACCGAAATTAGTCTGTAATTATCCCAAACACCTGAGTTAATCAGTAGTTACTCTGTACACTGAAGCTAGTCTGTAATTATCCCAAACACCTGAGTTAATCAGTAGTTACTTTGTACACCGAAGTTAGTCTGTAATTATCCCAAACACCTGAGTTAATCAGTAGTTACTCTGTACACTGAAGTTAGTCTGTAATTATCCTGAACACCTGAGCTAATCAGTAGTTACTTTGTACACTGAAGTTAGTCTGTAATTATCCTGAACTCATGAGTTAATCAGTAGTTACTCTGAACACCGAAGTTAGTCTGTAATTATCCTGAACTCATGAGTTAATCAGTAATTACTCTAAACACCGAAGTTAGTCTGTAATTATCCTGAACTCGTGAGTTAATCAGTAGTTACTCTAAACACCGAAGTTAGTCTGTAATTATCCTGAACTCATGAGTTAATCAGTAGTTATTCTAAACACCGAAGTTAGTCTGTAATTATCCTGAACACCTGAGTTAATCAGTAGTTACTCTGTACACTGAAGTTAGTCTGTAATTATCCCAAACACCTGATTAAATCAGTAGTTACTATAAACACCGAAGTTAGTCTATAATTATCCCAAACATCTGAATTAATCAGTAGTTACTCTAAACACTGAAGTTAGTCTGTAATTATCCCAAACACCTGAGTTAATTGGTAATTACCTCGACAAACCAAGTTATTCTATAACTACCTGAACACTGCAGTTTGTATATAATTATTCCAGTTAATCAATAGCTACGCCGAAAAACTAAGTTATTCTGTAATTACCCTAAAGACTGAAGCTGATCTGTAATTACCCTGAACACCGAAGGTCGTCTGTTATTATCCCGAATGCTTAAGTTAATCTGTAATTACTCCAAACAACTAAGTTAGTCTATACTTACCCTGAACTCTGAAGCTGGTCTGTAATAATTTTAAACATCTAAGTTCATCAGTAATTACCCCTAACCACCGATTTATTCTATAATATTCCTAAACATTGAAGTTAGTCTGTAATGACACTGAACACCAAATATAGTCTGTCATTACACTGAACACCAAATCTAGTCTGTACATACCCTCAACACCAAATATAGTCTGTAATTACACTGAACACCAAATCTAGTCTGTACTTACCCTCAACACCAAATATAGTCTGTAATTACCCTGAACACCAAATCTAGTCTGTAATTACACTGAACACCAAATCTAGTCTGTACTTACCCTCAACACCACTGTTCAGTGTAATTACAGACTAGATTTGGTGTTCAGTGTAATTACAGACTATATTACAGACTAGATTTGGTGTTCAGGGTAATTACAGACTAGATTTGGTGTTCAGGGTAATTACAGACTAGATTTGGTGTTCAGTGTAATTACAGACTAGATTTGGCTTACCCTCAACACCAAATATAGTCTGTAATTACACTGAACACCAAATATAGTCTGTAATTACACTGAACACCAAATATAGTCTGTAATTACACTGAACACCAAATATAGTCTGCAATTACACTGAACACCAAATCTAGTCTGTAATTATCTTGAACACTAAAGCTGGTC